CACTGCAGTTTGTTGCCAGTCGGTTACGTGACGCTCTGTACATTATCGTGTCTGAGCAGCGACGACTATTACAGGTACAAAGAGGCAGCCAGTGTGTACAACAAGTAGAAACGAAGAAATGCTGAATAATTCAGGCAGTGACCGTAGCGAGTGACGTCACGATAGTATTCAGCCGGTGGACGGTTCAAGCTGAGCGACCATGCGGAACCCCATCCGCTTAGTAGAGGTCCCTGTTGAAAAATTTCAGCTTTCCGTACAAATTCCCTTATGGAATGAACGAGAGAGAGAGAGAGAGAGAGAGAGAGAGAGAGAGAGAGAGAGAGAGAGAGAGAGAGAGAGAGAAAATTCTTCGTTCTTTGTTGAAGAAACTCTGTTTCAGGCAAAACAGTTTATGTTGCTTTATGTCTCACCCGCCTTGTCGCTTTAATTGACACTGATCTTTCGCCTTTTCAAGGCATATCGAGTGAAAACCATCTGCACCGACGTGTCACGAGCTTCTAAATCGTAATTTACGACCTGTATTTAATCTCTCTTGCGCTGGAGTGACGTGTGCCACGCGCGTCGAGAACATTTGCCCCCAAATTGCAATGTTTTCTCTTTCTCAGTTTGAAGTACATCGAGGTACAACTCGGGCGAAGCAGATGATAAAATTTATTACTTCTTAATAATTTTCTGTCCGGTGATATCACACCGACGAGTTCGAAAGGGAAAAAAAGGAAACGACGAATCATATTGTATACGGTTTTGGTCACTCGTTATGGTCCGCAATCCAGCTGCCAGCGCAACGTGGTTTTAACCACTTTGCGGTGGAACGACGTGCCACGCACATTTGGCCCAAAATTGCAAACTGTTTTCTCAGTTTTAATTATAAACCCAGGCGAATAACGAATAATAAATTTATTACCTCCCGATAATTTCGATCCAAGTGATGTCATCACCGACGAGTTGAAAAAGAAAGCGACGAATTATGTCGTTATACGATTTTGGTCCCTCGTTATGGTCCGCAATCGGTTGCCAGCGCAAGAGGTTAACACTGGAACTGCCAAAGGCGTCAAAACGACCAGTTTGATTTGATAAATTAGAGCTATATACTATCTATATATACTATATAGATACTATCTATATAGAGCTATATACTATCTATATATACTATATAAATAGCTATATCTATGAGATATAGATAGCTAAATTAAAGCTATATACTATCTATATATACTATTTATAGATACTATATATATAGAGCTATATACTATCTATAGATACTATATACTATTATAGAGCTTATATTATATTAGCTTATATAGAGCTCTATAGTATCTGTATAGTAGAAGTATATAAAGAAGTATAGAAGTAGAAGTATATAGGAAAGTATAGTATAGTATAGTATATAGAGCTCTATAGTATAATATAGTATAGTATAATATATAGTTATAGTATCTAATATATACTATTATAGAGCTTTCACTCTAGGCGTCTGTTCAGATGCTGTTATACTATTAGATACTATATTATACTATATTAGTATTATACTATTATAGAGCACTGTAGCCGTCTGTTCAGATACTGTTATACTATTATATACTATATTATACTATGATATTTTATGAAGTAAAATAGATACTATTATACTATTATATTATTATAGTATCATACTATTATACATCGTGTCCATACACCAAATGTATACATTTATTATATACATACGCACTGTACGTTTCATATGTACTGTCTAACATTTTATTCCTCATACTTAAGAGCTAACACAGTTTCGATCTATAATATAACTTAACAATAAACAAAACTAAATGCCCAGGCAATATATTACTTAGAATATAGGTTACGTTGCAACAACTTAAATTATATCGTCACATTGTTGATGGCAACGTTCATTAAAGTTGAAGAAAACGACGTAACCTGCGAATAACCGCTGACAATTGTCAAAAGAGGAAGTCCGAGATTGTTGGCTAGATTCAAGTCCCCGTTTCAGAAGGGGACAGTTAAGAGTGCAAAGGATTAACAACGGTAGATAACGCGGCAGAGAACGCGTGGCGACTCGATTCGAAACGAAAAAAGAAGAAAAAAAAAAAAAAAAGAAAAAAAAGAAAAACGCGCGTGATTCTTTCAACATCTCGCGCGTCCTGGCTTCGTTATCAAGCATGGCCCATCGCCGGATATCTCGCAACATCGTATTTTTCCCGCCATTGTATGGAAATGTCAGAAACCTCGTGTTTCGTCTCGGACTTCTTTCATTCCCGGTCTCTTGGCCACCGAAACGAAAGAAACATGCAAATATGTTGAAGAGAGGGAGATGGGGCCCTCTTGCCTTTTGATTCAATGGCGGCGCATCATCGATGTTTCGAGCCTTTCTTTTCAACCGGTTTCGTGGATCAACTGTTCGCCGATGCTTAATTGTTTGCCCGATGACGAGTCCGTGACCGGAATCCTGGGAAATTTAAACCTCTCTCCCACACCTGTTCCCCCCTCTTTGCGCGTTTTTTTTTTATTCGCGTTTCGTTTATTCGAATTCCGTCGCGGTGTTGTGTTTAAATCGCTGTGGTTTAGCCTCTTGCGCTTGAATGACGTGCCACGCGCGTCGAGAACATTTTTGCCCCAAAATTGCAATATTCTCTCAGTTTTAAGTATAACCCAGGCGAAACAAATAATAAATTTATTACCTCTCGATAATTTCTATTCAAGTGATATCGTACCGACGAGTTCAAAAAGAAAGCGACGAATTATATCGTATATACAATTTTGGTCACTCGTTATGGTTCGCAATCAGCTGCCACCTCTTCCACTTGAATGACGTGCCACGCACGTCGAGAACTTTTTTGCCCCAAAATTGCAATATTTTCTCAGTTTTAAGTATATTCAAGTGTAACCCAGGCAAAAGTAATAATAAATTATATATAAATGTAAATAATGATAATTTATATATAAATATAAATAATATAGTAATTTAGTAATAATAAATTTATTAAAATTTATTAAAATATAGTAAATTTATATTTATATATAAATATAAATATAAATAATATAGTAATTTAGTTAATAAATTTAAAATATAGTAATAATAAATTTATTACTTCTCAATAATTTCTATCCAGCGATATCATACCGACGAATTGAAAAGGAAAGCGACGAATTCGTATACGGTCGCTCGTTATGGTCCGCAATCAGTGGTTAACCTCTTGCGCTTGAATGACGTGTCACCCACGTTGAGAACTTTTTTTGTCCCAAAATTGCAATATTTTCTCAGTTTTAAGTATATTTAAGTATAATCTAACGAATAATAAATTTATTACTTCTCAATAATTTCTGTCCAGTGATATCGTATCGACGAGTTCAAAAAGATAGCGACTAATTATTGTATACGGTTTTGGTCACTCGTTATGGTCCGCAATCAAGTGGTTAACCTCGTGCACGTCGGGAACTTTTTGTCCCAAAATTGCAATATTCTGTCAGTTTTAAGTATAACCCAAGCGAAAAAAAATAATAAATTTATTACCTCTCGATAATTTCTATCCAAGTGATGTCATACCGACGAGTTCGAGAAAAAAAAAAAGCGACGAATTATTATCGTATACGATTCTGGTCACTCGTTATGGTCCGCAATCAATTGCTGCCGGCGCAAGTGGTTATAACCTCTTGCGCTTGAATGACGTGCACGTCGAGAACTTTTTGTCCCAAAATTGCAGTATTCTCTCTCAGTTTTAAGTATATATTTAAGTATAACCCAGGCGAAACAAATAATAAATTTATTACCTCTCGATAATTTTTATCCAAATGATGTCATACCGACGAGTTCGAGAAAAAAAAGCGACGAATTACATCGTATACGATTTTGGTCACTCGTTATGGTCCGCAATCAGTCGCCAGCGCAAGTGATTAAATGGCTTTCTCGAAGAATCTTGGCCGAAGGTCAGCAATCTGACGACATTTAATTGTTCCTAGCGAGATGAACGTGTCCTACGTGGTTTTTTTTTTGGTTTTTCTTTTCTTTTTGTTAACTTGCGTTTGAAAATGTTGCTCGAAACTGTGACGACGGATGGTTGTCTTACGATTTTCTTTTCGGCTTTAAGGAGTAAGCATTGCTTATTGAAACTGTAAAATTAATTCAGGTTGTTCAAGGTGTTGAAACATTATTATGTAATTTTTATTATGTCAATTGTGTTCATTTTAACGAAATTAAATTTAAAATCTGTTTTGAAATTTCGTAGGTTTACAATTTACTTTTTTCTTTTAAAATCGAAACTTTAACTTGTACCGCGAGTACGACTCGATATTACAAGTCGAGAAAGATGACGAATGGGGAATCTTCAGAGCAAAAGTGATCAACGTTCAGAAGAAATTTACAATTATACAAAACATTACTATTTATTCTAGAAGAATAACACCAGAATAACATTATAACACAGAAATTATATTTTAAGAAATAAACAAAATTCTGATGTTAAATTACAAAATAATATAATGTTTATAAATACAAAATAATAATACAAATGATGCAGAACAATAATGTTTCATAAAACAAACGCGAAATTGGCCGAAAATTTCTAATGGAGGAATCAATTGCACACTATACTGATTGACTTTTCTTACAATACATATTTAATAGCGATTGGAGCGGTGTGGTATTTCGAACGGAATACTACATCGCTATTGAAAAAGAGAGAGAAGGAGAGAGATGGAGAGAAGAGTAACGTCCGTGTACAATAAACAGACGTGTACGCTCTGCTAACGTGTTCACTCCACCGTGTGAAAATCTCCTACGCAAGGTGAAACCTTGTATGAACGCGCTTGCGTATGTATGTACGCCGTGCCGCTTCTCTTCCCTCTTTTGAAACGATTATTATTACGTTCAGGAAAGTCGTTCGAGGACACTTTCCTCGTTAAGGCTCATAAGCGTATAATAAAGAGTAAAAAATTAAATTTCTAGAAAGTAATCACGAGCCATTTGTCGCTAATCGATCTCGTGTTTCCGTTTCTTTTTTTTCCAGCAATGCCAGTCACTGGTCGAGGAGAATCGAAAACTTCAGGACGCATTAACAGCCAGTCAAATACCTCAGGTAGTAATCGACAGCGTTTTCCTCCAGACGCAGGTCGACACGTTACAATGGCAAATGAAACAGGTTTGTACAAAATGTTCACGAAATTGTCGACTCAATTTTTCCTCCCTTTGATATAGCAACTGTTACGTTTAATACGTTTGTAGAAAATTGTTAGATACAAACACACGCAAAAGTAAAGTGGCAAAGATGAAGACATTATTTTAACCCTTTGCACTCCTTTGTCGAGTGTTACTCGACGTCAGGTTTTTTTTTTTTTTTTGGTCGCGCTCTATATTTTTCAATTGCCGAAAAAAGAGAAAGATAATTAAAAAATAGTTTGGAGTGCAAAGGGTTAATTTTCCTTTAATTAACCTTATACACATATATCAATATTATATATATTAACATATATATCAATATATATCAATATTAACTTAACCTTATACACATATCAATATTATACATATTAACATATATATTAATATATATCAATATTAACCTAACCTTATACACATATATACCAATATTATATATATATAATAATATTATGTATTATATATATTAAATTATAACAAAGTTATATTCCTTTTCTTCCTTTATATATAAAATTATCCTCTTTCCTTTCCTTTATATACATATATATATATATATATTTTATTATTATTATATTAATATTAGATATTTTATAAAAATATTAATTATAAAAAAAGAATTCAAACTTTATTACAATAACTTTAATGTCTCTCTGTTGAAACAACTTGCAGATAGAAACGAACAAACAGATGTACCGTTCGCTGATGGAGGAGGTGGTGCACTTCTTGGACCGGGCTCGCAAGAGCCTGGACATTCTTCACGCGAAGAGTAGTCACAAGGATAAGAGTTTAGCGGGACGAGTTCTACGTAGTCGTAGTGTTTACGCTGTTGACGCGGATTCCTCGCCGAATCGTGCCACGTCAGCCTCCCCGACTCCGTCCACCTCCCGTTTCGCCAGGGTAAAATCGTCCGGGCAGATCTCGTACACCAGCAACCTGCGTGAGTTCACCCTTTGGTCATTGTTTCGCCGAACAGATTCAGCGCGTTCTACCCCACCGCGCAAAAAGGAGCCACAGGAGCATCTCAACAAAACGTACGACAGTATAACTTACAAAAGGCCCGAGCTCGACCCGGACGAGGTACCGCCTGAGAAACTGTCCCAAGAAGCCTTCAGGTACGTATAGAAAAAAAAAAGAGAAAAAAAAAAACCCCCTCTTGAGGGGGTCTCTTTCGAATTCCATCTGAGGTGTCTTGAGGTTAACATTTGTAAATCGTTTCCAGATTGATGAGAACCGTTCAGTCATTGCTCTCGATGAGAGAGCCGGACCTGGCCAGGGTCTCGTCGACGGAGACCAGCGAGTCCTCTCCGTCGCCAGTGGACCATCGTCTTGACGGCGACACCCACAACGACGAGGTGAATTTGCAGAACGACTTGCGAGACTCGGCGAGATACGACAGACGTTCCAGCTGCGAAAACGAGTCGAACAGCACTGAGAGCAGCACCTCGCCAAAGATCGCCATCGTCGAGGTCAATGAAAACTCGGAAGACCTCGGCAAAACCGCCGAGAAAGAGGTTCAACTCTCGAACGGTAACTGCTGCAACGGATCCACGATAACGGATCACGACCTTGTCTCGAGCGCGCCAGCATCCACGTCCACGCCGTATAAATGCGAGAAAAAGGAGGAGGAGGATAAGTCAACGCCAGCTGTCAGCGTGAGCAGTGTCGAGGATGAGAGTGGGTTCTCTTCAATGGGCTCTCAGGAAGTTGGCTTGCTCAATGCACTGCCGATCTCTCCTATGATAAAAGGTTGTCACACAGAGGTGGGCTTGCCGAAGGTGCCACTGGGGAGGAACAGACATCGTAAATGGTCTTCCTCCACTATGGCCGAAATTCAGAATCTCCTTAAGAGACAGCGCAATAGCCTGACCACCACTAAAGTGACCGCCGAATCGTTAAGCGTGTGGGTTTAAAATGATTCCACGCACAATACTCGCGTAAGGTATTTTCTAAAATATGCTGAATGTATGCTCTCCGATGAATGCACGTGGTACACTGACACGTGAACAAAGGAACGAACGAACAGATGATAGAATGCAGTATTGATACAGTGTAATTCATTTTTGCGAAGACTGCTTTCGAAATGTCTCCCCGATCCAGGCGTTGACATTTTTTTTCCCCTTTTTTTTTATTTATCTGTTTTCGTTCGGAAGACTTTTAACTTTAAGGAAACTTGTAAAATAATTTATTGGCAAATGCCACGCGAGTGTAATCGATATTTTAGTTTGAAAATTTTTCTCTTTTGCTAATTTTCTACGAATGATCCAGCGCATTCTATATACGGAACATTAATTTGTTTAGAGTTTCTTATTTGGACGTTTAACACGTAATGTATGAATGCATTTAACACTTTTACACGTATTGGGAAAAAGAGTACATAATTTCTCACAGTTATGTGCGTAAGATTTTGTAAAAATTGACTTTACCGAAATTATTTTAACAGTCACTATTGACGATTGATTGCGTACATTGCGTGCTCAATTGAGCGTTTTATATTTTGACATGTTAAAAATATTCTAAACAGTTTCACGTTTCCAGTTTCCGAAATTGTTTAATTTGCCTTTGCACGTATTACTGCGCTGTAAATTGTAACCTTTTTATGGATTTGTATATAAAGAAATAAAAAATAGCAGGAGTCTTTTAATTTGAAATGTTACCTCTCATCGCGTAGCTGTAACTAGCAGTAAGATCACAATCACTTTGATAACGTTTCAATCTTTAATCTGTTCTAGATTTACAATTTCGTATACGGTGGTTTTGTTAGTTTTTAAGAATTTTTTATATATTCTTTCTCATGACTAATTTATCGTTTTACGATTGGCAATTACGAGTAGACTATAACGAGTACTATGAATAATTTCTGTACAATCGAATTTGTCAAAGTTTTTTTTCTTTTTTTTTTCTTAGGAAAAAATTTTCTTATACTAATGATACACGTTTTTAACAACAATTTAAAGATACTGAGAAAGATGTCTGTTCCTTTTTTTAAGGAAAGACAAGCGAAAACGACACGTGACACTGAAGCCCGCGAAAACTTTAAAAAAGAAAAAAGAAACTTAAACAGAGGCAGTTGATTCCTCGAGATTGCGTAGCGTTCTTTCAGAACGTGACAATTTTCTCTTTTGAGGAAAAAAAAAAAAAAAATTCTCTTACACTCGTTTGCACGTTTCTAGCAATAATCTAAAGATATTAAAGATATCTTCAGGGAAAGACGAACGAGAACGACACGTGACAACAACCGTCACGTGATATCGGACGGCACAAAGCGCGCGAAAAATTAAGAAGAGAACAGAAATTTAAACAAAAGTAGTTGATTCCTCGAGGTTGCGCCGCGTTCTTTTACAATGTGACAATTAAAGAAGAAATAGAGAAAGAGAGAGAGAGAGAGAAAAAAAAGAATAATCCAAAACGAACAAGAGATCGTGATGAAGAAACGAGTTGTAAGAGAAAGAGAAGGGAAGAAGTGGGGAGGGGGGAAGATGGAGAGGTTATGTGGCGGAGGTTAGGATGCGCGCGCACCGCGATAAGGCAGACGCGAAGTCGCGGTGCTCGTTATCAGTACGGCAGGCATCGTTCACTTGTTCGCGAGTCGGTCCAGAGGTTAGCCAGGAGATTGCGCCACCAGCCGATCCACTTTTAGATTGATTTTCAAGAGCACCGTGCACTGGGGTACAGCGCTCGGCGTTTATTTTAACGTGGCCAGAGTGTTCGAACGGGCCGCGACCGTCTCGGGTGATAGCGGAAACATCGGTGACGAGGTGAGAGGTTCGGGTGCGGGCGCCTTTTTCTCTCTCTGCCGGTCTGGAAGAACGTCGTGTCGTTCAATCGTGTCCCACGGGAGGCACACTCGTTTTCTCGTTGACTCGTTGCCTGCGTGCTCGTTGTTATTACCGCACACCGTGTTACGCGCTCACCGTGTGTGTATCTGTGCGCGCTGTTCCTGCCACCCGGTTACACGCTTGCAGTTTCCACGGCCTGTACACACACACACACACACACACATACACACACGCACGCATACACATACACACACGCACACACACACGCGCGTAGTGAGTCTATCTATATCTGCTGCTAAGTTCGTTCTTTCTCGCGGTGTTCCGTGTACTGAACAACCGACTGTGGGTGTGCGTGTGTAACCTCAGAACGTGCGGCTTCGTGGCGCAGTGCGTGAAATGAGTGACAAGGATCGTTCCTCTCCCACTCTTGTTGAAAACAGTCTTAAGTCGCTGCTCGACCAACCTAGTATCTTTCCATTGATTGGTAAGTGATGACCACGATTCGATTTCAATTGACGCAGTGGCAAAATCGTATCTTTTAAGATCGTGGTCTCCCGTGTGTGCGGGCTTCCACGGTCTCTCCTCCCCTCCCCCCTCTTGCCCACTCTTTCGATTTCCGCCTCGTTGGAACGCGCATTTTTCCTTTTCTTTCGAAATTCGCGCACAATACTACTTCAGCGCTGACTGGCGGCGATTCAACAAATACGAAACACGTTTTTTTTGTCCCTCTCTCTCTCTCTTTCTCTCTCGTATTCTCATTGACGAATCACCGTGTCGTCGATATTTTTCCTTGGACTCTCCGCCAGTGTGACATTTAAATTTTTATGCTAACTGCTCGTTCTTCTCCCCTCCATCGTTCACGCTGGCATCGAGCAACGGTGCACGATGGAGATAAAGAAACGAAAATTGTTCGAAAACGGTCTCGTTGAGGTAAAAGGAGAAAAAGAAGGAACAGAGAATAGCTAGCAACGCATTTTACGTTCGTTGGTTGCGCCGGCGCTCGGTTCTTGGTTTCTCGATTAACCTCGTTTGGACCCCGTGGTGCACCACGTGACGTTTCCAACCTAACCTCACTTTCACTTGCTCAACCTATATGCTCGGTTCAGTTCGGCTCGATACGACCGTCTTACGAGGCGATTTAACCAGCCTTTCGACGATGCTTTTCATTCCGAAACGAACGCTTTTAACTCCGCGCGAGGCAGATTTCAACGAGAGTCGACGTTTTCCAAACAAAAATCACCGACTCGTCACCGTACTTATCGAAACCGTTAATCTCAATTTCACGATCATTCTATTTTTTTTTTTTTCCTCTCTCCGGAAGTCTAGTTACCGCAATGACTTCTGGGACTCCATTTCTATGGCTCCCAGAAAAAAACTTGGAAAAATGCGCGTTCTTTCGAATTCGTTAACACTAGAAACTAAAAGTGTAATATCTGCAGCAAAGAAATTGCGGCGCAAGGTACAAGAACACAAGCTTCTGTGAACATGTTTTATCACTCGGACGTCTAAAAATGCACTGTCATAAATATACATAGAAAAATATTCATAGAAAATTACGAGTTGGTTACTTTGGTAATTTTCTAGTGTTAACACGTACCGTGAATCGCGACGTACATATTTCTTGAACACTTGGGGTACATCGATATATTGTACAGATCGTTTTCTTGACGATCTCTTTGGCAAATGATTTGGTAACGAACGCACGTGGATCGTCGACGATCCACGCGGTTTGGGGGCAAATCGTGTGAAATTGCAACACGGAACGTGTTGAAGGAACGGAGTGGGAGGCAACGGTGGGGGGAGGGAGAATGAAATAAAATGTTGGTCGCCTAGTATATTTATTTAGCCTGCCGTTCGACACCGTGGTGTCTCAATTGACGTTCATGGTTTTTTACGTCAGTCAGCTTCATTAAGCGGCAGCTGCCAGTTACAATTACACGAATTTATTACAGAAATTAATTACGTTCTGCGCCCTCTCGCACGACCGAACCAATAGTTGCAAGTTGCGAATTTAGTTTCCAACTATAGTTAGTTTGACAGAATCGCGGATATTTTAAAAAGGCCACGACGATCCTTCTTTTCCACGTGCAAGAAATTGCAAAATTCGTCGCTTGTAGCGTGCGGCGATATTATTGGTTAGGGAATTACCGTGCGAGAGGGCACTGGCGTGACAATCGACCAAAGAAGAAGCACCAAGTTTTCGAACTTGGTCGTTGTTTCTCCCACCGTCTGAATTCTTTCCGTCTCTGGACTCATTTGCATGGCGATTTACGCCGGCGTGACGCACGCGAAGTGTAAATCACGATCCAAAGTGCGTCCGTCGAGTTACAAAACCTTTCTCGCTTTCTCGCCGCGCTGCATTACCCGCGGAACGGGGTTCGAGTCCTCGCTTCAGATAGCCGCGTTTTGCGCAATCGCGGCACTCGTTCAACTTTTGTTACCATCCCGGTAACCTTTGTCGTAGAATAAAAAGAGAGTAGTAAAGTAAAGGAAGAAGAGGCAAAGTACGTGGGAAAGAAAGAAAGAAAGAAAGAAAGAAAGAAAGAAGAAAAGGAGGAATGATAGGAAGAAGGAGAGAAACGAAGAGCGAAACCGTGGAAATATCCTATGTAAAGTTAATTAACGGTGTTGTACCGATAATTCGAAACATCGAGCCGCGGTGAATTAAGGACAGTTCCCTGACTCAACCGAGTAATGGCTTACTTCCCATTCAACTTTGCAAACCAGTTTCATAGGCTGCTCGCGGACGAAATAGGTTTCATTGTAAAGTGACACGAACCGATTAGAGCCGGCGATTGTTCAAGATCGTCCAACGATTATTCGGAGATCGTTGGTGTCGTTCATTATTTGTTTGTGTCGCCTGTTACTATTTGCTTTAACCTCAACCCCTTACGCTGCAATGACGTGCTACGCGCGTCGAGAATTTCTTCTCCCAAATTGCAACATTCTCTCAGTTTTAAGTACCCAGGCAAAACAGATGATAAATTTGTTACTTCGTAATAATTTCTATCCGGTGATATCATACCGACGAGTTCAAAGGAAACGGAAAGCGACGAATTATTGTATACGGTTCGGTCACTCGTTATGGTCCGCGCAAGTGGTTAAGTAAGACCTCGAGAGAGTTAGTTGCGTGTTGTAATTAATTTTTAATCAATGTTGTGATTAATTTTCGAACGATTTTTACCTTTCGAAAGGCAAGTCGGAAGTTCGTTCGGATCCGGGCAGGTATTTTTTTTTTTTTCCAACAAAAATGGCCGCGCCGGAAGAGAGTTACAAAGTTAGAAGCCCTTCTAAAAATAAAGGCATTCAGACACTCTGGGCACTTGTCGTTCTTCGCATTTCAAAATCGGCATTTTCTGAATCCTCCAGTGCCACGTGCTCTGCCAGATGCTTATTGACGCTTATTTTAATGGGTATTATTCTGGTTACACGCCTCGCGAAACGACACGGACAAATTGAGATAAATACGACGAGTCGAGATCTATCGATAATGTTCTCGCACTCTCGATAATCAATTTTAGACTGCTTTCGTCCTGCCGATTGTTATCGACCTATGTTCAATTTACTTTGCTACTTTGTTACTTCGATAGGACGGCCAATTTCCTTCGATCGTGTTTCTCATTATCATAAATAATAAGATCAATGTCTTGCAAAAAGTACGATTGTTTTTTGTCACTTGGTCGATAATTTTCTCGATGCTTTTTCTGATGAAAAGAGAACAGAAATGACAGGCTATTTTGCACGTTTGTGAAACAACACGCAAAGTGTGGTTCGTAGCTTCGATAAGACGGCGTTTTCCCTTCGATCATATTTCGTTGTAAATAACAAATAAGGTTGTCTTGCTTTGACAAAAAATAGTGCGATTAGTACATGTATATATTAGTATATATTATATTAGATATTACAGTATATTATAGTATATATATTTTATATTTATACAGTAATATTTTATATTTAGATATAAGTACAGTATGTACATAGTATATTTATATATAAGTACAGTATGTACATAGTATATTTATATATAAGTACAGTATATATATAATATATTTATCTATAAGTACAGTATGTATATAGTATATTTATATATAAGTACAGTATGTACATAGTATATTTATATATAAGTACAGTATGTACATAGTATATTTATGTACAAGTACAGTATATACATAATATATTTATATATATATGTACAGTATATACACAGTATATTATAAGTATACAGTACATATGTAATATATTTATAGTACAGTATGTACATAGTATATGTATATATAAGTACAGTATATATACATAATATATTTATACATAAGTACATAGTATATTTATATGTATAGTATATATATAGTATAATTATAAGTATAGTATATATATATAGTATATATATACATGTATTAGTATAGTACAGTATATATATATATACATATATATATATATAATATATTTGTGTATAAGTATAGTATATACATAATATATTTATGTATAAGTACAGTATATACATAGTATATGTATATATAAGTACAGTATATATACATAATATATTTATACATAAGTACAGTATATACATAGTATATTTATATGTAAGTATAGTATATATATATAGTATACATATAATACATGTATTAGTATAGTTCATATATATAGAATAGTACGATTCTTTGTTTCTCACGTGATCGATAATTTTTCGGTAAAAAAAAAAAAAAAAAAAAAAAAAAAAAAAAAATAAAGCAGCAACAGGCTATCATTTTGTCACGTTAAACGCTCATGTTAAAGCGACACGCGATTCCGTCTAGGGAATTTATACTGAAAAGCGATTACTTAGGCAAAACGAGCGACGCAGATTTATCGTTCGCGATTAAATTGCACGGCAGAAGCATATTTTTTCGGTGCATATTTAATGACCAGCCGGTTTGCCGCTCGTAATCGTCGTGTACGGCACTTTCACGCGACGGTGGCCGGGCATTAATTCCAAGATTGACACTGTGATAACACGTGGGTTGCGTCATTGCTTGGCTCCAAGGACCGTGCATTTGTCATTACAGGCAGGAATGGAAGAAAATTGCGAATTTACGAGTATCTGGCGACAGTAGCCAGAGCTTAGCTGCCGCGAGTCGAACGTACCTGTTTTACGTGTTTCACTTGATCCATCACGCTGCAAATGTCTTTCATCCGGCGCGTATCTCGAGATCATCTGTGCTCGTTACGAATATCGTCGATCGTAGAGTCGAGTTATTCGAATATTCCAATCTTCGTCCGTTATTTCTCGATATTCAGTAATGAAAATTCTATGAGAAATGGTAATTATATGGGAAATGGTAATTATTAAATTTTAATTGATAAATACCAGCGCTCTGTCGGGATCAGATACGACGTATCTCGTGCAGAAATAATTAATCTTCCAAGGGAGATTCGATTCGTTAGTTCCTTAGTTTCTCTTTGAAAAAAAAGGTAGGACAATTTCTCAGGCATACGACTTGCGTTAGTGAGAAACGGCACAAGCGTCCTTGAATATTTTTCAAATTTTACGGAAACCGTGCAAGCATATTCTCTTACAGTCACGAAAGATCTCTCTCTCTCTCTCTCTCTCTCTCTCTCTCTCTCTCTCTCTCTCTCTCTTTTTCTCTCTGACAAAGAAAAGAAGAAGAAAAAAATCCTTTCCTCCAAAGGGAAAAAAGAAAAATCCACAGAAATGGTGGAATATTATTTTATTTTATATTTGAATATAAATAATTTATATTAATAATTCTCTATATAATTATAAAATGAGGATATGGTGAATTTCGATTTAATTCTACTTTTTATTTAATATTTTGTACATTAATTCTTCTTTACCATTGTTATATTTATTGTTTAATTTGTTAAATTTATTTTATAGATTAAATTTTTATATTGTAGCAATATTAAATATTATAAATGTTAACAGTTTTAAATTCATTTATATAATTATATCTTGTTTTTAGTAAAAATTCCAATATTATATACATATAATTCATGGGTGATTATTTAAAGCTCATATTAAAGCTTCTTTTCTTTAGTTCAATAATTTTAGCTTCAACTATATTAAAAGTAGGAAGAAGTATGGTATATCTCTTTTTAGTAAAGACTCCAATATATATATATATAATTCATGGGTGATTATTAAAAGCTCATATCGAAGCTTCTTTTCTTTAGTTCAATAATTTTAGCTCCAGCTATATTAAAATTATGAAGATATGGTATATCTCTTTTTAGTAAAGATTCCAATATATATATAATTCATGAGTGATTATTAAAAGCTCATATCGAAGCTTCTGCTTTTTAGTTCAATAATTTTAGTTTCAACTATATTAAAATTATGAAGATATGGTATATGTCTTTTTAATAAAGATTCCAATATATATATATAATGCATGGATGATTATTAAAAGCTCATATTGAAGCTTCTTTTCTTTAGTTCAATAATTTTAGCTCCAACTATATTAAAATTATAAAGATATGGTATATCTTTTTTTAGTAAAGATTCCAATATATATATAATTCATGGGTGATTTATAAAAACTCATATTGAAGCTTCTTTTCTTTAATTCAATAATTTTAGCTCCAACTATATTAAAATTATGAAGATATGGTATATGTCTTTTTAATAAAGATTCCAATATATATATATATAATGCATGGATGATTATTAAAAGCTCATATTGAAGCTTCTTTTCTTTAGTTCAATAATTTTAGCTCCAACTATATTAAAATTATAAAGATATGGTATATCTTTTTTCAGTAAAGATTCCAATATATATATAATTCATGGGTGATTTATAAAAACTCATATTGAAGCTTCTTTTCTTTAATTCAATAATTTTAGCTCCAACTATATTAAAATTATGAAGATATGGTATATGTCTTTTTAATAAAGATTCCAATATATATATATATAATGCATGGATGATTATTAAAAGCTCATATTGAAGCTTCTTTTCTTTAGTTCAATAATTTTAGCTCCAA